TTTTTTTTTTTTTTTTTTTTTTTTTGTTGTTATTTTTTTTTATTTGTTCATTCTTTATTGTAATTTTTTTTGGTTGTCTCCATCATCTAACATAAGTTATAGTAGTAAAATTCTTTTAATGAATAAAATAGAATATTTGAAAATATTGATTATAAATCATAAATTAGAATGAAATTAATGTGGCCACCATACTTCTTTCGTATATTAATATATTACGCATCAATATTTCTATAAATATAATAAGTTTTTTGTCAATGCTATAGTCCAAATGACCTCTTTTCAGGAAATATTTGAAGTTAAGGTGCCTGGACAAACATAAAAAAGTTTATGTAAAGTAAAACAAGCCTTAAAAGGAAAAGGCTATAGATATTAATTTTTTAATCCTGTTGCAATACAACAGGCTACAGCTAGTTATTTTTAAATAAGGTAGAATCAAAATTGGACATTGACTTTTCGAAATTGAATGTTTATGACGTGCATTTGTTTTTTATAAGGTTATAATATAGTTTAAAATATACTTACTATTACTTAATTCAGTTGGTTTTAACAAAAAATATCAACTTTAAAAAAAAATTATGATATTAAATAACGAAATAATATTAATTTATATTTTTTTTATTTCATCAATACTTTTTTTGGATACATTTTCGTCAAGAGCGTAGATCTAGAAATTTTTTCTTAATGTTTTAATTATATTTTATTTTTATTTTATTTTTTTCTCTTTTAAATTACAAGATATTAATGATTTAGATTTTTAGCGTAGTCGATGCCTTTCGCGTTTTAGAAAATTTTAGAAATTACAAAAAGATGGGATAATATTGAAAAATAAAAAAACTTTAAAACATTTTAGATTAGTAATGCTTTTACACACAGGATAGATTTCGAAAATAAATTTTATTTTTAGATTTATCATAGTTTTAGTATAGATCGGTTAGTTATACTAGAGGGTAATATATTTTTATATTATTTTCTAGGTGTTTGTATAATTATTATGTAATTATTCATATATACATGACTAATAAACGCGTTACTAATTTTTTTTTAAAAAAAAAAAAATATCCGATATAGTGAAAAATTTAATTTCATCGTTCCTAAAAATGTAAAATACGATGGAAAAGATCAAGATGGTGACTGGATCTCATGGAAAAGAGGTAATTATATATCAACCTCGATATAGTTTTTGATTAAAAGAATTCAATATAATTATTTAAATTCGCAATCATTAATTCCAGATGATGCTGATGATGTTGATTTTAATAAGATCTTAAAAAGCATGATGAAAATAATCAAACATACTTAACTTCCGAGGAGTTATCACCGACCATGTGGTAACGAAATTTATTTTTTTTAAAAAAATGGATTACTCATCTTTAACAAATTTAAAAAAAAAAATTCTCTATAATTAGCTGGAAATATTAACGGTAGATATTTATTTAGTTGCAATCATGCACCTAAAATTTGTATACACTTTTCTTTATATTGCCTGATAGTAAATCTTATAAAATTTGAAAATTTTATCCTACCATTATTTATGCATAAATTTGCTATAAAATAATTTCAAATTGCACCAAATAGATACATTAAATAAAATAAGATATTTCAATTTTTAGGATCCTTTCACGTTCTGTATTTTCTTAATTTCAATACCAATTTTATTTAACCAATAATAAAAATAAATAAATATATAATTTAAAACCCTATTTAACGTAATTCTTAATAATTTATAAAAAAAAAAAATTGCCCCTCTATTAGTGAAGAAAAGCAAAAAAAAAAAAAAAATACTCTATTTCAACGTTAATATTTTTAAAAAAAACCGGACGTTAAACAGAGTTTTAAATAAATTGTAATAATTTAAATAAAAAAAAGGTTTCAAAAAAAAAACAAAATAGTTTTATCTATATACACTACAACACATAGTATTTATAATATTTGTGATTAGCAACTAAACTAGTTTAGGATCTTTGTTCTAACTTTTTCTGTTCGATATTTTGAACCTTAAAAAAATAAAATAATATATTGAATACGAATAATATAAAATTTACATCTCAATATTCAATTGAGATATATCAATTTGTAAAGATTCTATTTAATAAAAGTTTTATTAGTAACTTTAAAACTGATTTACATTTTTAAAATAACAAAATATTAATAATAATACCTGAAGATTCATTGCTTATTATATTAATATTATCATATTGTTCATCAGAATTTTTTATTTTGGGCCTACAAAAAAAAAATAGTATATTAAATATAAATGATATTATTAATCAATAATCATATAAGTTAAAAAACTTACATTTTATTATTATTCAATTGAGAAATATCAATCTGTAAAGATTCTATTTAATAACAAGATTTATTAGTATCTTTAAAACTGATTTGCATTTTTAAAATAACAAAATTTTTATTATTAATAATACCTGAAGATTCCTTGTTTATTATATTATCATATTGTTCATCAGAATTTTTTATTTTGGACCTACAAAAAAAAAATAGTATATTAAATATAAATAATATTATTATTAATCATTAATCAAATAAATTAAAAAACTTACATTTTATTATTATTTAATTGAGATAGTATATTAATTTGTAAAGTTTCTATTTAATAAAAGGATTTATTAGTATCTTTAAAAAACTAGTAATTTACATTTTAAATAACAAAATTATTAAATGATACCTGAAAATTTCTTGCTAATTATATTATCATTTTGTTCATAATAATCGTCAGAATTTTTTTGTTCTGGAAGATTATTAAAATCAAGTAATCTACTTGCATAAGTGGCTTCTGAATGTGTATTATATGATATTCCTAAGTTATTTGAAGTTATATCGCTATTTGACGAATTATTGTTTATTTCATCTGCTTCCTTAATTTGTGCTTGTAATTCTATTGTTTGTTTATCATTTGGTTCATATTGCCATTTAAGTAAAATTTTGTATATGTCTTCTGCTGTTGGTCGATTTAGCGGATTGGAATCCAAGCACTTTTTAATTAAGTGCACAATTAATTGTGGTACTTTAATGTTAAACATTGGTCTAAGTCCTTTGCAAACTTTTATTGCTAAATTATTATCATGATTTAAATCATGATATGGGGGTAATCCAGAAATTACTTCATACATTATTATACCAAAACTATAAATATCGGCAGCTGTTGTATAATTTTGTCCTCTTAAAATTTCAGGAGCTATATAAGGTAAAACGCCATATGTCTTATTTTTCGTATTTTCTGATGTATAACAATCTGCAGGTTTACATAATCCCATATCAGTTATAGTAGTTTTATTTTTAAACTTTAAAATATTTCCAATATGTAAATCTCGATGGATTAATTCCTTTTCATGAATACATTTAAGTCCAATAATAGTATAATGTAAATATTTAAACATTTCAATCCAATTAAGCTTATTATATTCTTTATCTAAATAATTTCGTAAACTTCCATCTTCTGCATATTCTAAGACCATTATATAATTTTTCGTTTTTGGATCCTGAGTTATTCCATAGAATCTGACAATTGCATTATTATCCATTTTCACTTTATTATGCAGCATGATCTATGATGTAAATGTAAAAATAAAAATATATTAGTAAAACCGACAATCTAGGTATTATGATCAAAATTATCAAACTAAATTAATCAAATTATACCTCATTCATAAATGCTAATGTAACATTTTTTGAATTGTCTAAACTTTTCAGAGCTACAAACATAGTATCTTTATTATATCTTTTCCAATTTTGGTTACTATCATCCCAATCAATTAGATAACCATCAATCCAATTTGCTCTATACACTTTACCAAACCCACCTTTTGCAATATATATAATATCATAAAATCTATCATAAGGTATCCATTCTAAAGCATTTGTAAATAGTTCAATGTTATTATGTACTGATAACTGACTGTCTTGAATAAATATATCAATATTATTATTATCACTGGTCCAATTTTCAAAATTTTGTTGAAAATGCATTGCATGACATGCATAATTACATTTTTTACATATAGTATTATTCAAAACCATCATATAACTTTTTGTTTCTGGATCTTGAGTTATTCCAAAAGGTATATTGATCTACAAATACAAATATATTAGTAGAAATTAAAAATTTCAAAATTTTATTAGTATTTTTTATTATACCTCATCAATAAGTTTTATTCTAATATTCTTTAAATTATTTAAACTTTTTAGAATTACTACTCTACTTCCATATCTTATCCACTTTTCATTTTTATTATCCCAACTCTCTATTTCTCCACCAATCCAATTTGCTCTATACATTTTACTAAATTCATCAGCATCTGCAATATATTTAATATTATATAATCTACTATAAGGTATCCATTCTAACACTTCTTTCAAATCATTATGAGCTGATAACTGAGTATCTTGAATAAATTTATCAATATCATTATTACCACTAGTCCAATCCATAAATTTATGTTGGAAGTGCATTGTATTACATATACTATTACACTTTTTACAATTATAATTCCAAACCATAATATAATTTCTTGTTTCTGGATCTTGAGTTATTTCAAAAGGTACATTGATCTACAAATACAAATATATTAGTGGAAATTAAGAACTTCAAAATTTTATTGACATTTAATTTATTATACCTCATTTGTGAATTTTATTGTAATATTTTTTGAATTGCATAAACTTTTCAGAATTATATCCTCACTTCTATATCTTATCCAATTATGATTTGTATTATTCAATTTGTATATTTCTCCATCAATCCAATTTGCTTTATACACTTTGACAAACTTATTTTTTGAAATATCACTATCATAAGGTATCTGTTCTAATGTATATTTTTTTACTAAGCAATAAGTATGTTCTGACAGCTCGGTATCTTGAATAAATTTATCATTATCACTAGTACAATTTTCAAAATTTTGTTGAAAATCCATTGGATTGCATATTGCATTACACTTTTTACATTTATTATTCAAAACTATCATATAATTTTTTGTTTCTGAATCTTGAGTTATTCCATAAAATTCATAATCTATTTTAATCTACAAATGTAATAATACTTAGTAAAAATTAAAATATTCAAATTATGCTAAATAATTTTACCATACCTTATTTGTAAATTTTATTGGAATATTTTTTGAATTATTTAAACTTTTCAAATTCACAAACATATTACAACCTTCTCTTTTCCAATTTTGATATTTATTATCCCAATCACTTATATTTCCATCAATCCAATTTGCTCTATACACTTTGCCAAATTCATCTTCTGCAATATATTTAATATTATAAAAACTATCATAAGGTATCCATTCTAATACTTCTTTTAAATCTTTATGAGATGATAACTGAGTATCTTGAATAAGTTTATCAATATCATTATTACCACTAGTCCAATCTATGAATTTATGTTGAAAGTGAATTGCATTACACATCTTATTACATTCTTTACATTTATTATTCAAAATCATTAAATAGTTTTTTGTTTCTGGATCTTGAGTTATTCCATAAAATTCATATTCTATTTCAGTCTATAAATGTAATAACACTTAGTAGAAATTAAAATATTCAAAATTTTGCTAAATAGATTTATCATACCTTGTTTGTAAATTCTATTGTAATATTTTTTGAATTATTTAAACTCTTCAAATTCACAAACATATTACAACATTCTTTTTTCCAATTTTGACTTTTGCTATCCCAATTAGTTATATATCCATCAATCCAATTTGCTCTATACACTTTGCCAAATTCATCTTCTGCAATATATTTAATATTATATAATCTATCATAAGGTATCCATTCTAATACTTCTTTTAAATCTTTATGAGATGATAACTGAGTATCTTGAATAAGTTTATCAATATCATTATTACCACTAGTCCAATCTATGAATTTATGTTGAAAGTGAATTGCATTACACATCTTATTACATTCTTTACATTTGTTATTCAAAATTATTAAATAGTTTTTTGTTTCTGGATCTTGAGTTATTCCATAAAATTCATAATCTATTTTAATCTATAAATGTAATAATACTTAGTAAAAATTAAAATATTTAAATTTTGCTAAATAAGTTTACTATACCTTATTTTTAAATTTTATTGTAACATTTTTTGAATTATTTAAATTCTTCAAATTTACAAACATATTATAACCTTCTCTTTCCCAATTTTGATTATGGCTAACCCAATTAGTTATATATCCATCAATCCAATTTGCTCTATACACTTTGCCAAATTTATCTTCTGCAATATATTTAATATTATATAATCTATCATAAGGTATCCATTCTAATACTTCTTTTAAATCTTTATAATGAAATGATAACTGAGTATCTCGAATAAGTTTATCAATACCATTATTACCACTAGTCCAATCTATGAATTTATGTCGAAAGTGAATTGCATTACACATCTTATTACATTCTTTACATTTATTATTCAAAACTATTAAATAGTTTTTTGTTTCTGGATCTTGAGTTATTCCATATAATTCATAATCTATTTTAATCTATAAATGTAATAATACTTAGTGAAAATTAAAATATTTAAATTTTGCTAAATAAGTTTACTGTACCTTATTTGTAAATTTTATTGTAATATTTTTTGAATTAAAACTCTTCAAATTTACAAACATATTATAACCTTCTCTTTCCCAATTTTGATTATGGCTAACCCAATTAGTTATATATCCATCAATCCAATTTGCTCTATACACTTTGCCAAATTCATCTTCTGCAATATATTTAATATTATATAATCTATCATAAGGTATCCATTCTAATACTTCTTTTAAATCTTTATCATGAGATGATAACTGAGTAACTCGAATAAGTTTATCAATACCATTATTACCACTAGTCCAATCTATGAATTTATGTTGAAAGTGAATTGCATTACACATCTTATTACATTCTTTACATTTGTTATTCAAAATTATTAAATAGTTTTTTGTTTCTGGATCTTGAGTTATTCCATAAAATTCATAATCTATTTTAATCTATAAATGTAATAATACTTAGTAAAAATTAAAATATTTAAATTTTGCTAAATAAGTTTACTATACCTTATTTTTAAATTTTATTGTAACATTTTTTGAATTATTTAAATTCTTCAAATTTACAAACATATTATAACCTTCTCTTTCCCAATTTTGATTATGGCTAACCCAATTAGTTATATATCCATCAATCCAATTTGCTCTATACACTTTGCCAAATTTATCTTCTGCAATATATTTAATATTATATAATCTATCATAAGGTATCCATTCTAATACTTCTTTTAAATCTTTATCATGAGATGATAACTGAGTAACTCGAATAAGTTTATCAATACCATTATTACCACTAGTCCAATCTATGAATTTATGTTGAAAGTGAATTGCATTACACATCTTATTACATTCTTTACATTTGTTATTCAAAACTATTAAATAGTTTTTTGTTTCTGGATCTTGAGTTATTCCATATAATTTATAATCTATTTTAATCTATAAATGTAATAATACTTAGTGAAAATTAAAATATTTAAATTTTGCTAAATAAGTTTACTGTACCTTATTTGTAAATTTTATTGTAATATTTTTTGAATTAAAACTCTTCAAATTTACAAACATATTATAACCTTCTCTTTCCCAATTTTGATTATGGCTAACCCAATTAGTTATATATCCATCAATCCAATTTGCTCTATACACTTTGCCAAATTCATCTTCTGCAATATATTTAATATTATATAATCTATCATAAGGTATCCATTCTAATACTTCTTTTAAATCTTTATCATGAGATGATAACTGAGTAACTCGAATAAGTTTATCAATACCATTATTACCACTAGTCCAATCTATGAATTTATGCTGAAAGTATATTGCGTCACATTTACTGTTACATGTTTTACATTCATTACTATTTAAAACCATAATGTAATTGTTTGTTTCCGGATCTTGAGTTATTCCAAAAGGCATATTGATCTACAAATACAAATATATTAGTAGAAATTAAAAAACTTCAAAATTTATTGGTCGGTATTAAGTTTATTATACCTCATTTGTAAATTCCATTGCAATGTTTTTTAAATTACTTAAACTTTTCAGAAAAACATCCTCATTTTTATATCTTGCCCAATTTTTATTTTCATTATTCCAATGTATTATTTTTCCATCAATCCAATTTGCTTTGTACACTTTGCCAAACATATATTTTGCAATATCGTCCAGTCTATCATAAGGTATCCATTCCAATGCATTTGATATTTCACTATCTTTATGAGATGATAATTGAGTATCCTGAATAAATTTATCAATATCGTTATTACCACTAGTCCAATCTATGAATTTATATTGAAAGTGTATTGCATTACATATACTGTTACACTTTTTACATATATTACTATTTTTTAAAACCATAATATAATTATCTGTTTCCGGATCTTGAGTTATTCCAAAAGGTATATTGACCTACAAATACAAGCATATTAGTAGAAAT